TGCTACTGCTACTGCTACTGCGACGACGACGACTACTACTACTACTACAATAATATTGCTACTAATTGCTGCTGCTACTGCTACTGCTACTGCTGCTGCTGCTGCTGCTGCTGCTAGTGCTAGTGCTACTGCCACTGCGACCTTCTCCTTCTCCTTCTACTTCTACTTCTGCTTCCACTACTACGACGATTACGACTACGACAACAGCCACAACGACTACGAGAACGACAACGACCACCACCACCACCACCACCGCCACCAGCCATACTATCATTAACACTGCTACCACCACCACTGCTACTGCCCCTGCCACGACCACAACCATTACCCCTACCCCTACCACTACCACCACCACGACGGCTACATCGACTGGCGACTACGAATCACCAATCATAGTAACACCAGTCCGGACGGAGACCCCGTGGCTCTCCTGCCTCTGGAGCTACTGCCGCTGCTGCTACGATTGCCTCCTAGGTCTGGTGCTCGTGCTAGCTCTGCTACTGCTACTGTTGCTGCGAAGCGATGACAACGACCACGAGCTGAAGCAGTACTTATACGGTTGCTCCTATGATGATTACTTCTACTCCCTGCCACCGCCCCGCCTCTGCACCTTGTTGGTGCTGGTCCTCCTTATTGAGGTTGGGGTGTGAGGGAGCAAGCGCGTTGGCTGAAGGGACCCTTCTGAACACTGGAGTGGCCAGGCCCTGCGTGCGCTGACAGATGTTTCCTGCAGTACTCATGTCAGCAAATCTTGTTAGAGGTCATGATGGTCAGGAGAAGATGAACTGTTGCTTCGGGTACTGGCGCTGATACACCTAGAAATACGGACCCTGCCCTGCACTGCAAAGCAAACACGAAGAGTAGGAAGCAAAAGCCAGCCAAGCCGCCCCAAGCGTGAGGGACTGGACCCCCAGGTCCTTCCACAAATTCGTAGGCGGGGATATCTTGACTCTTGACATGCTAGCGATTGTTCGGGTGGAGGGTGCCGAACGCTGAGACGAGGTGGCTTTTGCGCTTTGCAGGCATCCGGCGAACAAGACGGGGCAAAAGGAAAGCCTACAGCCGAATACAGCTCTCTGTAGACGCAAGAGAATCGAAGCCGGTCATGGCTTCGAGACTGTGCGTCATGTAGAACTAAGAGTAAGCCTCCCTTCAATTCGATAAACCTGCGCCGGGCCGAGCCTCCTGTGGAGCCGCGCCCAGGGCCCGGAGCTGGCCACCCTGCAGAGGCAACGAGGTCGTTTGTGGCAGAAACCCAACGTCAATAGCATCCAGGGCCCATTTCGAGGCATCAGGGCCTTCGAGCTTACCGAGCTGAGACGAAGCAGCACGAGGTTCGAACCGAAGTCAGGTTTCAGTGGCTTCGGAGATTTTCAGTCTCCTTGTTCTTCCCATTGGCGGTAGGCGTGTCGATGGAAATCTGAATCCTTCGAAGCCCTGGAAACCTCCCAGCCTGTGCCGAGGCCTCGTGTGGGATAGGAACCCTGAAATCCGCCGCCGAGGGCCCATCCCAGGCGCGGAACCTCGTGGGATCCGAGTCTCTGGGTCTTTTCTCTGGGTCAGCGTCTTGGATTGCTTTTTTGGCTGTTGGCCCTGTGGGGTTGGGGTATGGGATCTTCTGCGCTTGGAGCCGTGAAGTCTTAGAGGCTGCAAGTGACGCTTTGGACACAAGGCACAACAACGATACCCTTCAAAGCCGCACAGCGCGAACTGCAAGCAAGCAGAATAACATCAGGGCAGGCATAAAAAGACACCACATCAACAAAAACATCACCGCCATCACCATCTTTGCGGTAGCACACCTGATGCCTAAACTCCCGAAGGCAGATACTGAAATGCTAAATTTCCGTCCGAGCCCATATCCTTTAAGCCCAATACTGAGAGTCAAACTGACATGATCGATTCATAGTCCTCATAGACCAACAAACTTTTAACGCACCCAGTGCTTCGAAGCCTGAATTCTGAATGACATCTGCACATTTGCAAGAAGCACAGATACTGCTATTTGCCAGAGGCTCTACGCAGACATGCCGGGGTCCAGGCGGTGCCTGGACAGCTCCCGCAGCCATCCTTGCGGGACTTAGAGTGATGTCGTGAGGTTCGGACTCCGAAGATAGGGTTCGAGAAGGCCCCAAAAGAATCCGACACATCCTCCTCCCCACCCCGGACGACCCTCGAAGCTCCTCATGGATTGACCGATTGCCGCATCTTCCAAGGTGTGCGTCACCTGGCAACGCGACATCAAAGAATAAGGCTATGGTGGGCCCGACAAATTGGGAGGTAGAGCTCATGTGGTGTTCTGGAGGGCAGTGTGTATTCAGGGTAGTTTGGGGCGTTTAGGGTCTTCATGGGTCTGCGGTTAGCGCTGGTAGCCAGCGCCAAACGCCTTGCCCCAAACCCCAATTGCCCAAAATTGTCGGGATTCAGGCGAATGATTCAGGGGGTTTAGTTCAAAGAAACGCTGACATCCCTCCCAAACCTGTCCCCACAGCCCCCATACCGAGGCAACCCCCCACAAGTGTTGACAGCCGGGGTTGCCAGGAGAGAATAGGCCCCTGCCAGGAGCAAAGGACCAAAAAAGAACTCCTCGCAAGAAGCAATCTCGGACTTGATCGGCATGGAGATTCTAGGGGTTTCAGATTTCGGGATTGAACGTCCGGTCCTGTTGGGCTTTGGGGAATGGGCTGAGGCACAAGTCCAGGATCTCTTCAAGTCCGATTCGTTTCTTCCCAGCTTTAGCCCAACAGAGCCTTCGGTGTTCGGATCTTCCCTGCTTCGTACCCCTCAGCATCCGCTAGCAGACCCAATAGCTCCTCCAGGAGCACGACCAAAGCGCCCTGGCGGCGGAGGGCAGATGTTGGCAAACCCCTTCTTGCAAGAAACACAGATGTGACACCGAGAGGTTATACATAAGTGTGGGTGCGTGGACATATCACTCTACACGTCTATGCATGTGAGCTTCCATATACTCAGTTTCTCTGCCTGTGCCCTGGGCCTAGACTTTTCTGAGTCTCCGGCTGCTGCCCAGGTCTCGGTATCTGTGGGTGTGACCGTCGCAAAGAAGGCCATAATCACGTAAACGGAGATTATGAGAATCTTGGAAAGTGGTGCTGGGCTTGGATTTCGGGTTTGAAGTTTGGGAGTCCTTGAGGACCGGAATCTTGCACCAAAGCCGCGAACAAGACAAGACATCTGCGATGCTACCTCTCGAAAACCATGAAAAAAAACCTTAGCCCTCGATCTCTGAGGTCAAGGCCAGCAAGGAGATTGCCTTGGCAGGAAGCGTGAAATCTACTGGCTTTCTGGGCGGCCTTACCACCAGGACTTCACAGGGCTGTGGTGCTTGAGCCCAGCGATCTCGGCAAGTGAGAACTGTCGGTTAGAGCTGGATTCGGACATGTAAGCCTGGAAGACCATTCGTCCTTACGAAAGCTGCGAGCAACAACTCTGAGCTCTGCCGGGGGCTACTGGTAGGAACCGTGCAACTTGCACTTCAAGCCCCAGAAAGAGATAGTTACACCAGCACCGGTATCTCTCAGCCAGGATGCCCAGAAGAGGAGGTTCCGAACACGCCACTCCTTGACCTTTAACCTCGCAGGGCTTTACAATTTTTTCATCGTTGCTTCTTTCTGGGTGTCACATAGACATACAGAGTGCGTCAGGCATGCGGATTGTTTTGGCTGCGGACTTTGCGGCTGGCAAGTACCCGGGGGTGTTTGGGTCGATCGTTGTGCCAGCAGGGTTCAAAGTTTACAGGAGTCTGAGCATCATCTATTTCGAACTACATGTTGTCTTCTACATCTTCTCATGCTCGTCGCTGTCTTCTCTAATCCAGTCATCATCAGCATCATCATCCTCAGCATCAGCATCAGCATCAGCAGCAGCAGCAGCAGCACCACCGTGTCAGCCTCATCATGGTCGTCAGCATGATCATCATCATCATCATCATCGACGTCGCCCGCCAAACGGGCTAAGTGAGACTAATCCCCTTGATGCCCAACCCAAACAAGAACCCAATGGTGTTACGCTTCAAACTAGCACGAGCAAGAACAATAAGAACAGCAACATGAATCATGAATGATACGGATCGGATAGGAACGAGATGGAACGAGAACCTGATGCAGCACGGAAAAAGGCACTTCTGCAACTCAGTGGCTGGAGCTCCACATTGCCATGGGCGGATTTAAAGTTTTGTCTCCTGCCACTTTGGAGTTTAGGAAGCAGGCGAATTCGGGCTGGTGGAAATGTAGGATAATTACCCGGGCTCGGCTAAGAGCTTGTTCCTTTTCTCTCGCAGGGTTTCTTGCTCGGTGTTTAGACCTGATAGGGGCCACTGTATGCACTTCCAGATCCTTTTCCGGACCGACCGCATCTGAGAGTACGATTGCGGATTCCCGTGAATCGAGCCAGAGCATAGCAGCCCTGCGGGGAAGCCCTAACCTCGGTCCGAAGTGCCCCGGCTCCTCAGAGACACGAGGCCGTAGATCATCAAGTCACTGACCAACGCCGAGGCCAAGCCCAGAAGCAGAGTAATTCCAAGGCCCGCCCCTTCTATGCCTTAGAGAGACATGGAGGGCCCAGCCTCCGTTGCGGATTTTGAGCCATGTGTCGGGTTTTTGTCTGCATGCCGCTCTCTTGGCCTTCACGCCTTGCTACAGACCTCAAGCACCATGCCCGAAATCTCAACCATATCGGGCTTCTGTCAAGAGGCATCCAGCTTCGGAGTCATTTCCTGCCAGGCAAGTCAGGGATTTGGGCCTTCAGGACATGTCGCTGCAAGCTAGCGATGGCGAATCGATCTTTTCCGGCTCTTTTCGCGTAACGTCAAGCACCAAGGTCCTGTACATGACAGATGGTGCTACGAGCGAAGGGACACTTGCAGTTAAGCTGCCCATTGAAACGGTGCAGCGGTGGCGCGACACTTTCTGGACCCCACTAACTTCACTAACTGCTCTAGCTAACAAGAACTCCCCATCCCGAAACAAAGGCTGAGAGAACCACGGCCGCCAGTGAAACCTGTAACATGACCACACCAGGTCCGGTGCCCCACCCTCTTTCCCCGACACCTGGCCCGGGGGGTCGGCAGCAATTTCTATAGGTCTGAAGCCTCAAAACAGGAAATGTCCTGAAGTTTTGGGACGAACCTTTCACAATTGATCTGGGAATCTGGGACGGTACCGGCCTGGGAACACTCTGCGGTCCTGCATATCAGTGCTCTTTTGCACAGGGCGTTCACACAAAGCGGAGGCATTGGTATGCGTCAGTAGTCGGGGTCCCAGACTTGTCATCGTTTACATGGCAAAGACTACGGAGCCCGGATGCTTACTAAGGAGCCCCGAAAAAGCTGACTCCATCATGGACGCATTCCAAAAAGTCGAAGGTTTCGCCCTTGAGATCTCTTGGACTGCTGACCCTACCCAGCTCTTGAGGCCGAAACCTTCGGCTTGCTATTTACAGTCAGTCCGCCTCGGCTACGAACTCCCACTCATCGGCGCCCGCATCGGAGGCATCGGACAAGGACTCGTCAGAGTCCTCCGAGGAAGATGACGTCGCCTCCCAATTCTGATCCTCCGCGCCGTCCGCGCCTTCGCCTTCCACTGCCTCGTTGCCGGCAGCCGCGGCAGCCGCGGCCGGGGCACCTGGAACACCCGCGAAGGCGTTCGCTGGCGGATCCGATTGCTTTACGAAGGGCCGGAAGATCAGGTAGGAAACGAAGAAGCAAAATAGAAATATGGGGGGCAGCTGCAAGAACGGACGACCGTCACCATCCTTCTCTCGCCGATCCATCTCCCTGAGCTTTGCCAAAGCCTCTTCGAGTTGCTCTCTTATCATGAAGCTCTCCGTGATCACCGGGCAGGAGACTGGTGGCGGCGAAGGGATGTCCAGAATTCTCTGCTTCTCTTCCAGGAGCCCATCAATTCGAGCTTGCTTCTCTCGGGACCGCTCACGCAGTCTCCTCAAAGTCTCCTTCAGCTCCTCCTTCTCCACGAGGAGCCGCTGGTCGTACTGCGTCAGCTTCTGGTTCCACCGTAGCAGGCCCTCCTTCGTTGTCTCCAGCGCTTTAATGCTCTGCCTCGATTGGTCGAGCAAGGCTTCGAGCCTCTCCTTCTCCATCTTCAGCTCCTCGAGTTGCTCTCGCTCCTGCTCTCGCTGCTCTCGCTCCCTCTTCAAGGCGTCTTGGAGCTCCCGCTTCTCAGCGACCGTCTCCCGGATTCTCGCCATCCTCTCCTGGACCTCCTGCCTCACCGCATCCTGATGCTTGTGCACCCTCTCCCGCACTCCGGCCAAAGTGTCCTGGGTGTGCCGGCGCACCTTTTTAAAGAAGCTGTCCGCCTCCTCCTTCAAGCATCCCCAGCCGAAACCGTGCCTCCCCCGGTGGCAGGCCTCCGCCAAGCAAGTTAGGGCCAACACGGCGAGGAGGACGAAGCGCATGGCCCAAGCAACAAAAGACGGATGGCACTGCGCTTTGGGGTGCTGGAGCCCGAGCAATGTCTCGAGACAGAAGACTGCCAACATCCGCTTCCTAGGGCCCCAGTGCAGGCCCCAACAAAGCTACGCCAAGATCGGAGATGCGGCTCCTGATGCCCCAGACTGGAAGAAGAGAGCCGCCAAAGCGCCCGCAAAGAAGATCTTCAAGAAGATGACCTGAAGCTTATGGGGTCTGCTTTAGTTCGTTGGCTCGGCCAGAGGATCTCGGTCCGAGGAGAGGGCCACGACCTTCGATGTACCTGGGAAGCCAGAAGGGATGCGTCGCGTACTGACACAAGCTCTACGGAGATCAAGTGAAGGGTTGGGGTGTCGAGATATTGCCACTGCTCTGGATCTCTTGACCCTTTGTATTTGCGAGCACCGAAGGAAGCGAAGCCGCAAGTGGAGCTGAGGCACGGGAGTAGATGAGGCTGCCATGCCCCGCTGCGAGTGAGCGGTGGACAGCCGGGAAGAGCAGGAGCATTCGGGCGAGCCAATTCGCCTGCAGGACAGGTTTGGGCCGGAGGTGACGTGCTTCCATCGGGCGCTCTTGCACAGCTGAATGAAACGGAAATCTAGTGACCCATTCCCAAAGCGAGACTCTGCGGTCCTCTAAGAACAGGTTCGTCGCTTTGGCGTAGCCGGAAGAGACGTTGATAATCTGCGGAGCCGGTTTCGTCGAGCTTGGTGCATAAAGTGTTACAGTGCCGAAGGGTCCAGCGGAGTGGGGTGGCAGGAGAGTGGGGCTTCACACTTCTTAGAGCTTCGGGGAGGTCTGGGCTGTCGATTTCGGTTGCCGTGCTTCTACTTCGCGAGTGCCTTGCGACAGCCAGGCTGCAGTGGCGTGAAAGCACACTCGGCACCACCCGCAGACCGACCAACACGCCACGAGTCAGCAGGAATTGATGCCCGACACTATAACTGGGGAGTAGAGAAAATCTCCGAACTCCTCCAAGCCCCCAAGCATTCAGGCGAGGGTCATCGGCCAGCTTCACGGCAGCGGCATAGAGAGGACTCTTGCCCTTCGTCAGCTCGCCCCCTCGAGGTGTCGATTGTGAGCTTCATGAGTTGGGGGTCCGAACTACTGGCCCACGAAATGCCTTCACATCCCGCCAAATCCCGGCAGAGCCTAAGGCCTAAGGATTACCTCTGATGGCCGAGCCGCCTTGCTTGCTGCCCACTGTCCTCGCGAGATGAATGCCCAACTTTCGGCCAACGAAAACGCTCAGCTTCCGATTGCAGCCCGGCCCCTGCCCCCAACAAGCTCTAGGTCCCTAGGTGCATTGCTCTACGCGCCTTCCAGTCAAAAAAAGGCTCTGCGCTGCCACGCCACTTCTTTTTCAACGCTTCCATTCTCAACTCTCCAAACTCCCACACCCCAACTCTTCAGCTTGAGACTTTGAGACTGGAACCCCAAGGCTCTGCAAGGGTCCGACAGAGGACAAGCCGAAGAGCCCTGGAATTCTCCTGACCAAAATCGCCAGCTCCAGGGACTCGGGGTCAACACCCGCCTGCCAAAACGAGGGGAATCGCAAGGCGTTAGGGCGCGTCATCGGGTTTCGGCTGCAGCCGAGGCTTTGCAGCTTGAGGTTTACACTTTCTGGCGTCTAGGTTTAGATTGCGCGGGGGGGGGGGGGGGGG